ATAGATTCTGCATCTCAGCAAACCCTTGTTAGTATCAAGGTGCTGGATCACAAAGGAGTACCAGACACAAAAGTTCTGTGGTGTGACAGGACATTATTCAAGGTTGTGGGGACCAGTGTGGGTAACTATTGAGCTCATGGGCATGAAGGACAGACACGAAGTATACTTGGCTGACATTGAAGACCAGTACATATTAGGGTTGGACTACTTACTACTGAAGAAGTGTGTAGTTAACTTCGATAAAATGACGTTTGAGAACAACAAAGGCCAAATTCCTGTAAGTGTTAAAAGAGAGGTTGAACTAACCAGGTGTCATCAAGCTGAAGCCAAGTGTCAGAAGAAGTTGATGATGGTGAAATGGAACCATGTATAGATATTAAAGCAGAGCAGAAGAAAGACCAAGATTTGAAGCCAATATTTGATTTTCTAAAAGCAAGTGTTTTGCACCCTTCTTGGGAGAAGGTGTCTAGCTTAAGCCCTGTGACAAAGAACTATTGGGCACAATGGGACCAGTTGAAGCTTGAAGATGGTATTCTTGTCCAGAGATGGGAAACTGCAGATGGGAAAGTGACGTCCTGGCAAACAGTTATACCGAGAAAGTTACGGGAAGTTGTGCTGCATCAATCCCATGATAGTTTAACAGGAGGACATCTCGGAGCTAAGAAGAAACTGAGTCACCTACAACAGAGATTTTACTGGAAAGGTATGAGGCAAGATGTGGAAGAATGGGGCAGGACATGCAGTACATATTGTGCTAAAATGAGACCCAAGCATAAGGGATGTGCTCCAATGAAGTTATATCAAGTTGGCATACCAATGGAAAGAGTAGCTGTTGACATTGCTGGTCCTTTGGCTCAAACTCGTGCTGGAAACAAGTACATTTGTGTGGTGATGGATTATTTCACCAAGTGGCCTGAGGCATATGCAATACCAAATCAGGAAGCTACAACTGTAGTTCGGCTATTAGTGATTTCTTCTTCAGATCTGGTATGTCATACGAACTGCATTGAGATCAAGGCCGTAACTTTGAATCAGCTATGTTCCATGTATGCTGCAAGTTGTTTGGCATACGAAAGACCAGAACAATGCCACTTCACCCACAGTCTGATGTGATGGTAGGAAAGTACAATTGGGCACTGGGACAGGAATTGGCAAAGTTTGTAACAGCTGCCAAGATGAATGGGATGCCTTACTCCCTGCACTGTTGATGTCCTATAGAACAGCAGAGCATGAAGCCACTGAATACACTCTAGAAAAGTTGATGCTTGGCGGGAACTTCGGTTGCTAGTGTATCTGATAACAGGACGCCCACCTTAAGAGGAGTTGCCAGAAAATGTGTCAGAGTTTGTGAAAGTGTTATCTGAAAGGATGGATGATATTCACCTTCAGGTTTGTTCAAACTTGAAAACGTCTGCTGATTCCATAAAGCTATGTAATGATAAGAGATCTACTGAAGTCAGCTTTGTACCAGGAGACAAGGTGTGATTGTATAATCCCAGGAAGACCAAAGGGAAGTCTCCTAAATTGTCTTTTCCATGGGAAAGCCCATATGACACAGTGAATCGTGTCTCAGACGTGAATTTCTGAATAAAATGTGGTCAGTGAGGTAAACCAAAGGTGGTTCATGCCAACAGGTTTTGGCGTTATCATGGTCCAGGACATTTCATTTGGAACGAAGTGTCACCTGAAAAAAGCCACTGTTGAAGAAGAAAAAGAAGAGTGACTGTCAAATTCCACTATTCCAATAGATGAATTTATATGCTATTTAATATCTTACCTATATGTCCATCACTTCAAAATTAGGGACTGGCACGAAAATTCTGAAACAAACAAACAAACATCTTATGAATGAAATTAAAAAATTTGAAAGAAAAAACCCACTTTACTAAACTTTATTTTTAAAACATTTGCTTTTACTTGTCAGTTTAGTACTCGCAATTTCAATTACTGCTACTTTTCATAGATCTATTCATATTGATTACTTTACATATTTAATAATATAGTAAAATATGCCATTAGGTCAATGAAATCAAAACCATATGTTTATATAAGTTGTTCATGTAAAGTTGTTGATGTAAAGTCACAATAATTCCATACTTGTATTTAAAATAGGTGCAAAAATAATCCAAAACAAACTACCAAGAAAACATCAGTGATCACAGAAATTAAAAAAACATATTACACAGATATGATGTGTTTAAATATGATAGCTCATTTCACGGACTTAACTTTATCATATAGTAAGGCGTAACATCCGTCTCTACATTTACACAGCTATTCCTGCTCAATAAGGCACTTTGCTCATCCGCTTGTGGACTCCTAGCTGGTTTACCTCTAATTCTAGAATTGGTTGGTTCGACCTATTGTGCCCTCTACATATGTTCATATATTGATGAGTAGGATACGCTGCTTCACAGTTTTAAAAAGTTTACTTGTACGAGATGGCATTAACGCGTATTTGTGTTTTGTTACTCTATTTTATGGTATTGTGTGCAACAGTCTGGTCTACACAGCAACGCCAATTTAGAAGTTTTTCAAGTTGGGACAACTTTCATCGACAGTAAGTACTAACCATTTTAATGTTATGGAAGTAAAACTGATTATCTATGTTTAACTTACACCAGAATTAACAGTTAAGAGAAAGAAGTCTCAATTTTACTGGTTGTCATGTATGAAATTAATAAAATACAAGCCACGTATGCATACGTTAATACTTTTATGGGTAAGCTTAATTAGTAAGTTGGGAGCAAATACAATGTATATGTCTAGTTAAAGATTAAAGAAATCCTTCTAGTTCTACTATGATGGTTTAGCCGTAAAAGTTTGGTGTCGATTACGCTGTGGGCAGAGAACAAATAGCTCTTTATCAGTTTATGTAGCGTTTTACTAAATAACAAGCAATCGAAAAATAAACAGTACTATTAATCTGTGTAATATTTTAATTAACTGGTAGTTTTCATTTAATCTATCTTTAAGAGTTCATAAAAAGTTACTTTATATCATTTTTCTTAAATGAAAAACCGTGTTCAGTTATTGACTCATTAATCCATTCATACAGTGAATTGTCTTTAACCTAAAAGCTTTCGATATCTCTCATAGCTACGCACGTTTAAGCTTTAATCGATATAACTAAACATGGCATACACGAATCATGAACCATTATCGTGGTTCATAATAGGGATCGCCCAGGTTTTTGTTTGTTTTGAAGTTAAGCACAAAGCAACACAATGGGCTATGTAAGCTCTTCCCACCACTGGTATCTAGCGTTGTGAGTCCACAGACATACCGCTGTGCCGCTGGGGGTTAGGGATCGCCCAGAAATTTTACAAAACTTCTAATAGAACATAGTGCAAACACAATCTTGAAAACAACAGTCAAGACTTTCTATCTTAATGGCTAAGGATGGTAAAATATTAATAATAGGGGAAAAGTTGATTTTCCGATTGTTAGACAAAATTCTAAATTCATCCATTTGTTCTTCATATTATTATTATTATTCGTATTATTCTTTTTTCACAAGCCTAAAATAGAAAACACGGCTATGAATATTTTATTCAAACCTACTAGGACTATTTTTATGTTGATTTTTGAAAGAGAAGGAGAGATTTTATCAGTTTTTCATCGTTACTGGCCAAGTTTCTCTCTGAAGCCATTCAAGCACCGAAACCTACAGCAAAAACAGTTTGGTATACTTCGCCAAAATCTATGCACAGCTGTTAAACAAACCCCTGCGAAAGTTGTAGGGCTATTTTTAAGTTGATTCTTGAAAGTCGAGATTTCCATCCTATCAAATTTTTTAAGTTCTTCTTCGCTACCAACATAATCTCTACGACACCCATCGCAGAAATGTAGAAGCCATTTAAGCACCATTATACGAGTCGGAAACATTCGTTTTATTAAAGTAAACTATGTATATATTTATAACAGTGTCTCCGGCCTTATTATTATTGATTATAGTTTTACAAGCCACTTCAGAAAAAAAAAAAAAAGCGGCTACAAATATTTTACTGAAACCTGGACAATAGTCAGGGTCGGATTGGGCAGCCGGGACAAAATTCCGGTGGGCCGGTGAGTCTGTGGGCCGCAGTGCCGCCTTGGCTTGTACTATGGTAGGCTGATGTAGCTTGATAACCTCATTGGCGTCTGTCTATTCCAATGCTACAGACCAACTTACTGCAGTCTACATAAGTTATAGGTGTTTATACATGTATGTTTCATGTCGAGAGTCATCAACTGTACAATCAGATTAATAATGTCTTAGCCCCCAGGCCCTGTAGGTGAAAACCAATATAAGTTCCACTGAATATATTTGTAATTTCGCCTTTCGTACTGTACTCGTACACCCCACCCAGCATTCGCCTCTGTCGCTGGAATCTAAGCCTCAATATTTTTTGTTGTTGTAAAGAACAAGCTCTTTCAAGGGCTGAGGCACATTGATTAATGGTTACCAATTTATATACAATATATATATATATTATGCTCAACAAAATATTTTTTGTAATGTTATTATGATAATTAAGAGTATAAACGAAATTTAAAGTCGCAGTCAGTGATACTATACCAGCTCTAACTAAGCAGACATTTATTTGACATTTACATTTGACATTAGTGGAGGACACGCTCTGAAAATCGTGGAGAAAACGTAAGTACGATTATTTTGCATTAATAATAATTATTATGTAGCTGATTATTCGTTATCATTAAGACAACATAAATCAGCAAACAATGACTTTTCGTTCAAATTAGATCAAGAAAAGTTGGTTTTAAATCCTGTAGCGTCATCTATTATCTAAATAATCGTAACTATTGCTTATTTATTAAAAATGTAAATGTTTCGAATTACGTTGTTATTGTTGCGTCAGCGAGTCACATGACTACTGTGACGCCACGTTTCTAGAACTATACTGTACTTTGGCGAATGCTCTAGTATTTACTAGATATAGGGTAGTCGGGTATATAAAAGAGGGGGAATGAAATGTAATGTGTGTGTAGATAGTGAGTAATTGAACTGCAGTCAAAAGTATTATTGACGTTCGTTGTTATAGCGTTTGTTTAGCGCGATTGTTGAAGTTGAGTGTATCGGTAAAGTTATATTCGGAAAGAATAAACCAGTTTTATTAAGTAAAGACTTGTGTCGTTAAAATTTCGTCGAAACGAAGTTACGGAAAAATCAATTAACAAACGGAGACGTAACAATACTTATTTTCAACAATCGCGCTAAAACAAACGCTATAA